CTTCCGGTTTTCTGGTGGTTTATTGGAGATAGGAGTCTCACGGTCTCTCCTGCCCGGGCTAGCTTTGAACCGCGATCCTCAGATCTCAGCCTCCTAAGTAGCTAGGATTACAGGCGTGAGCCACCAGCGCCCAGCTTATCATGCATTGTTTCATAACTGTTTTCTGCTAGCATAATTGGATCTTACATATTGATTCACAAATGAATCGTGTTCCTATCTTTTTTGTTACATTTTTGATTTTTGACACAAGGTGTCACTGAGTAGCCCAGGATGGCCTCAAACTTATGATCCTCTTGCCTATAGCATCTCAAGTGCTAGGATTGCAGAGTTCAGCATCATGTCCAGCTGCATTGTTACTGATTACAAAATATACACACTTACTTACATTGTCTGGTTACATTGTATGGTAGTGAAAATCCTACATGTATCTGTATGTTTTCTTCTAATGTATGTTTGGGTGGGATAAATGAATAAATCTTTCAAGAGATGGATTGAAGCCATATGTTTACTCTTGTCTGTAAGGGCTAGGTGCTGGTGGCTCATACTTACAATCCTAGCTATGTAGGAGGCTGAGATTTGAGGATCAAAATTGAAAATCAACCTGGGAAGAAAAGTCCAAGAGACTCTTAGCTCAAATTGGCAAGTATTCTGCAAGGAAAATCTTTACTTTAGTAAATCATTTTGCATTTGGTTTCCATATGACTTATTTTCTCTAAAGGAAGTCATTTCCATAGTATAATTAAAATGTCAAGAAGTAGCCTTTCACATGTATATATGCAAGTATGGGAGTTAATGTCTTTGTAACTACATCATTTTTCTGTTCTTAATGTTTTGAACAAAATTTACTATTTGCTTGGTTGTAAGCAGTAGTTAAAAACTCTTTAATCCAGGCACCAGTGGCCCATACCTATAATCCCATCTACTTGGGAGACTAGCAACAGGAAGATTACAATTCAAGGCCAGCTGGGTCCAAGCTTTGAGACCCCTTCACAACCCATAGTTAGACACAGGGACGTGTAGCTGTCATCACATGCTACACAAGAAGCTGAGATTGAAAGGACCGAGGTGCCAGACCAGTCTGGGTAGAAAAGTCTGATATTTCATCTCTGTGGAAGAGAAGTTGGACATAATAGCATATACCTATGATCCCAGCAATGATGGGAAACCTAAAAATAGGTGGACTGTGGTTCAGGCATGCTCTTGGGTAGAAAGGGAGACCTTATAATGAGTGGAAAACAGGGCTAGAAGCATGGATCAGCATTATGCCAGCCTAGCAAGAATGAGTTTACATTCTACCACCATCAAAAGTAAAAGGTCTCTTTACAAGGATCTAGGGGTATAGCCTGAACTGTTTGCTCAGAATGGATTTGTTCTCCATCATACAAAAAACAAGCATAAAAAGATTCTTCGAAAACTAGCTAGATCAGCTTTTTGATGAGTATATGGCTATACCACCAAGAAATTTTAAATATATAAATGATAGGTAAATTGACTCTTGGTCTGACCTAATTACATGCTGAATACCTTCATATGTTTATGTAACTATATTACAGAATATTTGACTTAAGTGGTAAAGTACCAACTATGATCATGAGGCCCTGAGTTCCAGCCCCAATACCAGCATACACACAAATATCTCAGAACTGGCCAGGTGCAGAGGCTCACACCCATAATCCTAAGCTATATCAGGAGGCTGAGATCTGAGGATCACAGTTCAAAGGCATCTGGGCAGGAAAGTCCATGAGACTCTTAATCTCCAATTAACCACCAGAAAACTGGAAGTTGGAGCTATGGCTCAAGTGGTAGAGGAATAGCCTGAGCTGAAGAGCTGAGGGACAGCGCCCAGGCCCAGAGTTCAACCTCCATGATTGACCAAAAAAAAAAAAAAAATCTCAGAACTGGAGATGTGGCTCTTAGGCCCCTGGAATGGTACCAGGGGGAAGAATAGGCTGGAGATTTCTTCAGCAACTGGCTTATTTTCCCTCTATCAAATTTAAATCTAAGGCAGAATTAGCACTAGTTGTTAATTTCCTGATGCAGATCTCTTGTTAATAACTTGGTTATTTTTGTTAATTGGTTTCATATTTAGATACAAGAAAGGTGGCTACAAGATAACCTTACCCTAAGAAAAAGAAATGAGGAACTGAAAGAGGTTGAAGAAGAAAGAAAACGACATTTGAAGGAAATGGGTCAAATGCAAGTCCTGCAGATGAGAAAGTATGTTTTTATAGTTTGGCAATTTTTTTCCCCCACTTTGGGCTAGTCCTGGAGCTTGAAAACAAGGCCTGAGCACTGTCTCTGAGCTTTTATACTCAAGGCTAGTGCTCTACAGCTTGAGCCTTAGCTCCATTTCTGGCTTTTTTGCTTGTTAACTGGAGATAAGAGTTGAGTCTCAGACTTTTCTACTCTGGTTGGCTTTGAACTGCAGTCCTCAGATCTCGGCCTCCTGAGAAGGTAGGATAACATATGTGAGCCATCAGCACCATTTATTCATTCTTAAGTCAGGGTTTCATCTTGTTTTCAAAAAAAATTTTTATTTTTTGGTTTGGTCATGGAGCTTAAACTCTGGGTCTGGCTCTGTCCCTGAGCCCTTCAGCTCAAGGCCAGCACTGTGCACTTGAGCTATAGTACCACTTCTGGTTTTCTGGTGGTTAATTGGAGATAAGAGTCTCACAGAGTTTCCTGCCTGGTCTGGCTTTGAACCATGATCCTCAGATCTCAGCCTTCTGAGTAGCTAGGATTACAGGCGTGAGCCACCGGGGCTTGACTTCTTTTCAAAAATTTTTAAGGTTGCTATTATAAAGGTGATGTACAGGGGGGTTACACTTAAGTCAGGTAAAGAGCGTATTTCGTTTGGGACCGTTTCACCCCTTTTCTCAGGCTCTCTGCTTTTCCTTCCCATCCCCACCCACAAGGTATGTAGTTCATTTTTAACATCAGGGTCTCATAACCTAGGGTAGCCTTGAACTTATAGACCGCCCACCATCTGAGGGCTGGGATTACAGGCATATATTTTTATACCCAGCATAAAATAGTTTTTAGTTAAACATTCTTAATTTGAAGAAATTAAGTACCTGGTTTACAAAAGAATGAACTCTGTGCCTGGGTGCTGTTCCTGAGTTCTTCAGATCAAGGCTAGTGCTCTTACCACTTTTAGCCATAGCACCACTTCCGGTTTTCTGGTGGTTTATTGGAGCTAAAAAGACAGTCTGTTTTTACCAAAAAATGTTTTATGGCCTTAAAATTGAAGAAATAGTATAGAATTGATAACATACTGTGGTGATGGACAGTAATTACCTAATATTAAACATGCCAGGTCTTGAATCTTCTGCTGCACAGCATAGTGGTATTCAGCATAAAAGTTTATGGCTATGAGCCATCCTGGGTCAGAGGCCTGAACAATCTACACTATTGCCAGTAGAGTTATTGGCAGCACAGTTTGTCAGTGGGGACTCATTCTAGATTGTCCCAGTTCTAATTTTGTGGACACCAGAGCATTGGGGGGAGGGGTAAGATTTGTCAGCTTCTTCCTTCCCCTCTTTTTTTTTCTTCAGTACTAGCGTTTGAACTCAGGGCGTTGTGCTTCCTCTTACTACTTGAGCCACTCCAGCCCTTTTTGTGCTGGGTTTCAGAGATAGGGTCTTGCTTCTTGCCCAGGTGCACTGGAGCAGTGATCCATTAGTTTGGGCTCCCCCTCATACCCTGGATGACAGCCACCTGGACACTACACCTAGCTTCTTCCTTTGAGACAGAATGTCAGACTTTTCTGCCCAGGCTGACCTGAACTGAGATCCTCCTGTTGTCAGCCTTCCACAAAACTAACAGGCACTCTACTGTGTTTTGAAAAGGTAATCTTGTAAACTTTTCTGCCTGAGCTGACCTTGAACCAGAGTTCTCCCATTCTCAGCCTCCCAAGTAGCTAGAATTGCAGGGGTGAGTCATCGACACTTGGTTATTCACCTGGCTGGATTGTGCTTCATTTACTCACTGCCATCCTAATACAGAAGAGAATTTGTTCCTTCCTAGTCCACCTTAGAGATGGCTTATGAATTCTGTGAGATCTTAGTACTGATAAAAGGGTTCTTTAGCCAGTGCATTAAAAATGAGCTATTCAGAAACTTATCTGCAGCAAAAATTTGACAAGATTCATTTGTTTAGTAATGAAGCCTTACAAAGCAAGGAGAGAGTCTCATCATATACTGATAGATAAGGAGAATGGCACTTTAAAGAGATGAACGATACAGACCTGGTATTCATGCCTATAATCCTAACTACTCCAGAGGCTGAGAACAGGAGGATCACTGTTCAAGGCCAGAGTTACTGAGCCGAGCAACAGTGGCTCAAGACTGTAATCTTAGCTACTCGGCTGAGATCTGAGGATTGCAGTTCAAAGCCAGCCTAGGCTAGAAAGTCTGTGAGATAGTTATTTCTGATTAACCACCAGAAAACTGAAAGTGGTGCTTTGGCTCAAGTAGTAGTAGAGTGCTTGCTTTGAGCTGAAGAGCTGAGGGACAGCGCCCAGGACCAGAGTTCAAGCCCCACAACCTACCCCTGCCTTCCCCTCCCCCAAATGTTACTGAGACCCTAACCCTACCCAGTGGAGGTAGAGGGAAAATTCTAAAGTTGATTACAGTATCTGTCCCAGGAGTTTGAGAGCAAAAGAATTGTGATCAGAGAGAAGCACAGGCAAAAAGTCCATAAGACCCCATCTCAGCCAATAACTGGGTATGATAACACGGATGTGGAACGTGTAAGTCAAGATTACAGCCCAGGGCTGGGATGTAGCTCAGTGGCAAAGCATTTGCCTAGCAAGTGCAAAGTCCTGGGTTCGATCCCTAGTACCAAAAAAAAAAAAAGAAAAGACAAAAAAAATACAGTTAAAAAAAAGATTACAGCCCAGGCAAAAATCAAAACACTATTCAAAATATTACAATAGCAAAAAGAGCTGTAGGTGTGACTGGAGAGCTTGCCTAACGAAGCCCTGAGTTCAAACCTCAAGCCCCTTCCTACCCCCAAAAAGAGATCATGTGGTATTTCTGCTTTAGTTGGTTAAAAATTAGAGAGATCCTCATTTGTCATTTTTCTGTCTTCTAGGGAACACCAGCAGTTGGAAGATAACATAGACAGTATAAAAAGAAACCACAGTTTGGCCTTAGGGCGACAGAAAGGTTATGAAGAAGAAATTATTCATTTTAAGAAAGAACTTCGAGATCCTCAATTTCGGGATGCTGAGGAAAAGTACCGAGAAATGATGATTGTTATGAGAACAACAGAGCTTGTGAACAAGGATCTGGACATCTATTATAAAACTCTGGACCAGTAAGTATGAGACTGGAGATTTGATAGTAAACTGCTAGTCATTACTAGTCATCTTTCTTTTTTTGTTGGGTCCAGTCGTGGGGGCTGAACTCTGGGCCTGGGCGCTGTCCTTCAGCTCTTCAGCTCAAGGCTAGCGCTCTACCACTTGAGCCACAGCGCCACTTCCGGCTTTTTTCTTTTGGCTTATGTGGTGCTGAGGAATCGAACCCAGGGCCTCAGGCATGCAAGGCAAGGGTTCTACCACTGAGCCACCTTCCTAGTCCCTCATCTTTCTTTTAATACATTTTATATATATACCATAGAATGTGTATACCAGGCGAACACACAAAATGCTTATTCTTTGTTAGGCTTAAAGCATATTAAGATTGAGTACCCATGATACCACCTTCCCCTGACCAATCCCAGAAGTTTATCATTGTCATGGACAGGTATCACTAAGAGGCCCCTCCCT